GATCTTCAATTTGACATTATTTGTTTATCTCACGAGTTAAAGGCTCTCTCTCTCTCTCTCTCTCTCTCACACACACACACACACACACCCGCATGCATGCACGCCCGCTCGCACACACACGCACTCCCGCACACACACACACACACACACACANTTTTTTTCCTGCAACATTCTGATGATCCATACAAAAAATACAGAACAAAAAACAGATAACACAAAAAAAATCGTCACCAGGATGTGCATTAACCAACTGTGAGTGCTTTCTTGGTTCTATTTTTAGATAGACATTCCTCTTTTGTTTATGGTGCAATTGAGACCATTCCCAAACAAACGTCCTCTTAACACATATGACAATCTCTCAAATGGCAAATTGAATTTTTCCAACCACGATAACATATCAGGGGAGACTCCATCGAACCAACCGAGTGAGACGTGCAGCATACAAGGCTAATTATGACTAGCTGTCTAACTGATATCTCCTTGATCTGATGTAATGTGTCCACAGGTTGATGCACAGATCATTGTGTCTGACAGGAATGACAGGTGTTTCTCCCAGAATGCTTTGTTCTGCCCGTGCAATGTAACCGCTACAGACAGGTTGTTTTGACGTTATAATACAATAATACTCTGTGGGTTTGGTGGGTTGTGTCCGAGCGGCTCTTTGTGAAACCGTTGAGCCAGGTGAACAATCACCGCTGATCCCTGTATGTCTGAGTGACAGCTCACCGTCTGCAGCTCTGTTTTCACGGTTATTGGCCGGTTTCCCTTTTTCATCTGCTCTAAAGGCATGAGGGCATGGCACCATGAGCAGCTTTTGTCAGCGACGTTGTGTCACGCTGTTAACGGTTGAAACAACGCCTCATACCGGTCCAGCAGTGTTGACAGAAAGGTCTTTACCTTGAATGCCCTTTGACTGCAGAGATCTTGATGTGCCAGTTCTGCCTCTCAGTTTTAATGTTGTGTTCAAAGAAAACAGATCACAGGGATGATGATGATGACGACAGGTGAAGCAGTCCAACAAGTTATGTTCTCTGGCTTTCATCACTCTACTTCCTGAATACTTCGCTGCTCTCACATCCTGGCACACCGTTTGGCAAGGCAACTCTGAAATCAGCTTTAAAGAGGTCAACAAATGTAAAAGATGTTAAAGATTGTAAACCACATATTCGCTGTTTCTATAAATTCTTGGTCCGCTCTCTAAAAGTGATCTCAGAGTCACCAGAAACATGAATGGTTGTTGACCTGTGTGTTGGTTTCAAATGCACAGCCTGCTTCACTGAGATTCATAATCTATTATAAATATATTGGGATTAATTGTATCTGTGTGCATCTACTGCCTTTATCCTCTTATTAGCACAACATGACGTAAACTTTTTGGGAATGCTAAAATAATAATTCCAGAGTAAAATATCCGTAAAATAAGAAGTTACCATAAAATATAAAACTGGATGAAACCACAGTGGGGGAAAAAGACAGAAGTTTCAAGGATTTGAGCTGAACTTATTCTAACATGTTCTCAAACTTCTTCTCTCAGTGAAGGTCAAAGAGGGAAGACCAAACACATGTAGGATCTTAAGTTAAAAGAGGATTAATTGAAATGATATAAAAATAGGTTCAAATCAAACACACAAACCAAACGCAGCTCAATGTGTGGCAGCCAGCTGAGAGAACTTAAATAGATTTTTCTGCAGACAGACCAGGTGATGTGAATCCTCCCTAACGACCACTTACTGCCTCAGGGTGCTGCAGGGAGGATTTAAAGTCATGTTAGGGTAAAACTAACAAGAACAAAGTTTATATCCGTATCCCACTGTATTCCTCCTGCACGGCTTCACATGTGATTACACAGAGGGATCTTCAATTTGACATTATTTGTTTATCTCACGAGTTAAAGGCCTCTCTCTCTCACACACACACACACACACACACACCCGCATGCACGCGCACACACACACACCCGCATGCACGCACACACACACACACACACACACACGCACTCCCGCGCACACACACACACACACACACGCACTCCCACACACACACACACACACACACGCACACACACACACACACACACGCACTCCCGCTCTCTCTCACACAGACAGAAACACACACACACGCACTCTCTCTCTCTCTCTCCCACACACACACACACACACACACACACACACACACACACACACACACACACACACACACACACACACACACACACACACACACACACACACACACACACACACACACACACACCATGTTTATATTACTTCAGGGGACATAGACTTACATGCATTTCCTGGAGACTTATCCTAACCTTAACCAACACACGCCTAACCCTAACCAAGTCTTCACCCTAAAATTAATGATACCCCTTATGGGGACCTCCATTTTGTCCCCATAAGGAAAGCCAGTCCCCACACGTGACTGTGTAAACATATGTAGGTCCCCACAAGGATAGCAATGCTAGGTCACACACACACACACACACACACACACACACACTACACGACACACTACACACACACACACACACACACACACACACACACACACACACACACACACACACACACACACACACACACACACACACACACACACACACACACACACACACACACACACACACAGGTGTTTTGTTGAGTTCAGTGACCTCCATGTACTTAAATAGGTAATAAAGTTGTCCTGCAAGTTCATTAACTAAACAGGGAGGGAGAGGTTGTCTAATTTGGTGAGATAAGTTTCAAAATCTTTGTTTTTATTTGGGCTGTGGAAGGTAAACTGATTTATTAATAATAACAGAAAGTACATTCAATAGAGGCTGATGGGTAACATGTTATCTTGAGTGGCGGTGTGAAAGCATTGACATGTATTCGGTGTATGAGCAGAGCTTAGGCTTTATTTTGACCTTCTTTTCAACTATTCAATTTCACAATCCACACTTAAGTCTCTCTTTTTATTGCCTTTTGCCCAGAGAGATATTTAACTGTGCAGAGTGGGTCGGACAAGTTTTGACAGGAGTTTTACTGCTGCGACTGTGGAATGAGCTTCACCAGCCCTCAGGTAAATGTTCAGGAGGAGGAGGCCAAGGAAATGTCCCCGAACAGCAGAGAGAGAGAAACGCACTGCAGTGACGGTGAGTCATGGTGTTCATGCAGAGAACAGACTGTAACACGGCTGCTGCCAACTCACTGCCTTTCAATATCTGGACCGGTTTCTAATATGCAAATCAATCATCTGTTCTGTTCTTTTAATACTTTGAATATTGACAGTCTATGCATGTTGTTTTGATAATCCGCCCTGTAGTCGATGAGACATTTCACTCATTTAACAACCTCATTGTGTTGCTACAAAAGTCAACAAAAAAATGTGCAAATAAAGAATGTTTGTAATGTCGAAATACATCTGGGAGATATTTCATGAGATAAGTTAAAGATTTGACCCACTGGTGGCACTAGATTAATAATTTGAGCATGATCAAAGTCAGTGGGATCTATCCTCTGATAGATGAATGATTGAACGGAAATTTCTCAATTATTGAGAATCTTCGGTTCGGACCATAGTGGTTGACTGTCTGACCACAACATGGTTAAATAAAAAAATATGATCATTGTATTTGTTTTTAAATATGAAATATAAATAATGATACAGTCTGTGTTGATTTATCTGACAAATACTGAAATACTTCACACCATGTTTTGATGGCTGCAAAATAACATCCATCCATCCATCCATCTTCTCCCGCTTCTCCGTGGTCGGGTCTCGGAGGTATCAGTTCCAGCAGAGAGCCCCAAACTTTCCTTTCCCCTCATCAACCAGCTCTGACTGGGGGGTCCCAAGGCGCTCCCAGGCCAGCGAAGAGATATAATCCCTCCACCTGGTTCTAGGTCTACCCCTTGGTCTCCTCCCAGCTGGACGTGCCTGGAACACCTCCCTAGGGAGGCGCCCAGGTGGCATCCTAACTAGGTGCCCGAACCACCTCAACTGGCTCCTTTCGACGCCAAGGAGGAGCGGTTCAACTCCGAGTCCCTCCCGGATGACTGAACTTCTCACCTTATCCCTAAGGGAGACGCCAGCCACCCTGCGGAGGAAACCCATCTCGGCCGCTTGTATCCGCGATCTCGTTCTTTCGGTCATGACCCATCCTTCATGACCATATCTGTGTTTTTTATGTATGCACCACGACATCAAGTCAAATTCCTCGTAAGTGTAAACCTACCTGGTAATAAACCTGATTCTGATTAATGGTCCAAATGTCCAATGCCTCAAACGCCTCCATTGGATTCCTTTGTTTACTTCCGTCACATAATGACATCACTATGTAACACTCACACTTCTATTAGCATTGATTGTCCAAATGTCCAATGCAACATGGTCAACGTAAGCAAGTATATCAGAAGAGA